AAAATCAAATTGTGATATCTGTCTATATTTTGTTCTGTTTCTGAATCAAATTCCCAGAAAGCTATGAGTTGGGATTCTGTTGTTGATGTTTTCATAAGGTCTGCTTAACTTGCCAATGCTAAATGCAGCTAGTTGTTGACGTGCAGTGGCATATCTCAGTCACATGGCTAGTCATGCACCTGACTGTGGAACCAAGAGGTGCCTCATCAGTTACCTAAAGTTAGCTGTTTGTTACTAAACCCTTGATATCTACTGAGTGGAGCAGGGTGCAAAATTGGAATTAAAAATATTTTGAGCATATCCCTTTTTAGTGAGTACCTGAACAAAGCTTTTTGCCATCACTGGGAAAAAAAACTACTCTTGTTTATCTCAAGCTTGCTTCATTTCCCCTTATTCTTTGAAGTGTGTGTGTGTCTGTGTCTGTGAGATGGAGGGTCTTATCTGGTGAGAGCTACCAGATGTGGAGGCTGATCATAGAATCATGAAGTTGGAAGGGGCTTATAAGGCCATTGAGTCCAACCCCCTGCTCAAGGCAGGGATACAAATCAAAGAATGTCTGCAATTTCTCTTGAATGGCTCCAGTGTTGGAGCACTCACCGCCTCTCAAGCTAATTGGTTTGTACTGCTCTAACAGTTAGGAAGTTTTTCCCGATATTCAACCAAAATCTGGCCTGTAACTTGAGCCCATTGTTGTGTGTCCTGCACTTTGGGTTGATTGAGAACAGATCCTGCCTCTCCTCTATATAACAGTATTTGAAAAGGGACTGAAGAAGCTACTTGAATGAGTAGTGAAATGTTTCAGCCTAACAAGGAAGAATTCCAGTTGCCATGACTCAACATCCAGCTATTTGAAGAGTGCTATCATGTCACCCATTTCTCAAGGCAAAACATGCCGAATTCTTTCAGTCTTTCTTCATAAGGTTTAGTTTCCAGACCCCTAATTATCCTTGTTGCTCTCTTCTGAATTTGTTCCTATTTGTCAGCATCTTTCTTGAAGTCTGGTGTCCAGAAATGAAAAAAGGGGAACGAACCTTGCAGGATTTCGATACTGTACTGTGTTTCTGTCAGTGCAGCCTAAAATAGCATTTGCCTTTTTTATAGTCATATTACACCATTGACCCATATTCAGCTTGTTATCTATGAGGAATCCAAGTTCCTTCTCACTTGTAGTATTGCTGAGCCAGGTATCCCCCATCTTGTAACTGCATTTGGTTTCTTTTTCCGAGGTGCAATACTTTGCATTTATCCTTGTTGAATTTTCATTCTTTTGTTTTCAGCCCAGTGCTCCAGCCTATCCAGATCATTTCGAATTTTGTTTCTGTCTTCCAGGTTATGTATCAGCTGATCCACCCAATTTTGCGTCATCTGCAAATTTGATTAGCATTCACTGCACCCCTGATCCAGGTCATTAATAAAAATGTTGAAGAGCACTGGGCCCAGGACTGAGCCTTGGGGTACCCCACTTGTTACCTCCTTCTGGTTAGAGAAGGGACCCATTAATCATCACCCTCTGAATACAATTCTGTAGCCAATTGTGTATCCACCTGATGATTGATCTATCCAGCCCACACCTACCACACTTTCCCGAAAATAAGACAGGGTCTTATATTAATGTTTGCATTCAGGTTTATATTCATGGGATGTTTTATTTTTTTCATGTACAACTATCTACATTTATTCAAATACAGTCATGTCATCTTCTGGTTGCTGCACAAGGGTGGAGGGCGGGGCTTCACTGAACTGGGGCTTATTTTTGGGCTAGTGCTTATATTATGAGCATTCTGAAAAAATCATACTAGGGCTTGTTTTCAGGTTAGGTTTTATTTTTGGGTAAACAGGGTACTGTAGTTATCTTGTGAATCAGAATATCATGTGACACCTTGTCAAAAGCTTTGCTGAAGTCAAGATACACTATATCTACAGCTTTTACTCCGTCTATTAAGAAGGTTACCCAACCAAAAAATGAGATCAGATTAGTTTGGCAGGATTTGTACTTGAGAAATCCATGTTGGCTTCTAATTATTACTGCATTGTTTTCTAGGTTCTTGCATAGTGACCACTTTATAATCTGTTCCAGAATTTTCTCTGGGGTTGACGACTGGCCTGTAGTTCCCAGGTTCCTCCTTTTTGCCCTTTTTTTAAAGACAGGGACAACATTAGCCCTCCTCCAACACTCTGGCACCTCCCCAGTTTCCCATGATTTCAAGAAAGTAATGAACAGTGGTTCAGAGAGCTCGTCTGCCAGTTACTTCAATACTCTTGGATGCAGTTCATCTGGCCCTGGAGATTTGAACTTGTTCAAGGTAATAAGGTATTCCTTGACTATCAATCTCCAGCTACAATCTTGTCCCCCCACCCACCTGCCCTTTACACTTGTCTGGAGGGTCCATTGTCTGTCCTTCAGGAAAAGACTGACGTAAAATAGGAACTGAGCACTTCCGCCTTTTTTTTGTCCTCTATCATTTTTCTGTCTCCATTGAGTAGCTGTGCCACTGTTTCTTTGTCTTTTCCTACGCACGTACCTGAAGAATGTTTTTTGTTGCTTTTAGTGTCTCTAGCTAGCCTCAGCTCATTCTCAGCTTTTGCCTTCTTAATGCCTTGTTACTTGTCTGTACTCTTCCTTTGTACCGGGCCTTCTTTCCTCTTCCTATACATGCTATTTTTTGGTTTTCAGGTCCTCTCTGTTTTGTGAAATCACACTTGCCTTTTTTGCTGACCTCCCTTTTTTTCTTGTTGGAATTGTTTTGAGTTGTGCCTTTAGAATTTTATTTGACTCTGGTGCCACAAGGATGGAGATGTCTGTTCTAGGTTTTGCTATGAACATATATAAGTGAATCAGCAGATGCAGATTCTGCGGATAAGGGGGGCCTACTGTAATTTGATTCCTAAAATCTTTTCCCGTTCTCTCTTCTTGTTTGTTTGCTTGCTTGCTTCCACTGTTGCTTTCTTAATTATCCTTTCTCTCTTTCTGACCTCCAACTGAGCAGCAAGCATGGGAGATCTCTTCTGTGTGGTTGAGACTGTTTTACCTTTTTATTCTTCTGACTGTAACTGCA